GAGAGAAAGGAGGCACAAATGTTGGCGTGTTTTCTTATCCTGCCCGCTGTATAATGTAGATGATGTGCTTCTTTCCAGACCGAATGACGTGCTAGTTAGCAGGTTGTCAGCGATAGCTGCTTTATTCATCTTTGTTTGCTGGACTGTTATACTGTCAGCCTGTCACATCTGAAAAGGAGAACGACTGGAACTTATGCCAAAGCTTTCGATACAGTGTGCTCCGTAAAGGCTGCGGAAGATCCGCATGAGTCGGTAAACCAAAGTGGATGGGTCCGGCCTCTCAGATAGGACGTGTCGACCCTACTCGCCCTCAGTAATTGCCATCTGGAGGTTCCAGAACTTGAGTAACTGGTCATAAATGCACAGCGGTAGGTCACTGATCTATCAGCAGACAAGCGCCACAAATTCCAGAGAGCCATGAAATGTCAGCAAATAAAAAGTAAAAAGAAGGGTGCTTACCAACCTGGCCCAGGCCATGTGGATGCCGCATACCAACGAATGTAAGTATTTATACAACACGGCCGTTTGGGTCATTCTCCCATTCTTGGTAGGCATAACTGACTCCCGGAGACGACCTCAGATTACCTTCGCTTAAAAAACAGAAAGTATCAATGGCACTACCGTTCATGGATACATGAACTTGGATCATGCCCCAAACGCTGATTTTTGGAGGGATACCTGACTGTATGTTCGGTTTATACGTTTCACTCGCTTTGCTTCCAAGTAAATTTTTCAACGGTTACATGAATCTTAGTATCGGGGATTCAAGCTTAAATTTGTAACAGTAGATGTGTCTCGGGCGCCTATCCATACGGTGAGTCTAGGAAAATGCTGTATAAAATCTCTCAGCGCAGCGGCCTAATTATCAGTTTTACCATTAGCACAATATGCACACTAAGAGGAATTCGGCTCATCAGCATGTGTGAGCTAATGTTAGAAAAACACGTGTAATTACACTGCGGGATTTTGTACCATCGATAGCAGCGTAGATGTGATCACTTCCATTGAACAAGGGACTGTTTCGAGAAATTTTCCCGTTCCATGGGAATGATGAAAGATTACACGTCGAGATGATAGTTCGCTACATGCTTCCCGCTTAGTTGGGGGTCTGCAACCACAGCAGCAAATTGGTTTTTGGACCCTGGAAGTTGCAGTTTAGCTCTTCGACCCCAATAAAACTCGTAGTTATACACACTCAGTGATGATCGATAGTGATATGTGTAAACAAATTCAAAAAATATATAGGGGATTCATGCTGTAAAAAGGTTGCTCGGCAAATACAATGTTTACTGTTGTTACCCCTTTTCTTTTTGAGACCATAACCTACAATCCTACGGGACATGTTTGATTTCGACTTGCTTATTCGTAATAGACTAGTAACTTTGACGGACGTAAAGATGACTGGCGGAAATAAGGCATCTAAATCCCTGGACACTACCACTCCACGACCCAAGACGGTTGTGCCACGGGCTGCATTCGAAGGAACGCATGTTCATGTCGGAGCCACACTTACTTACAACTGCGTGAATTGTGCTTATTGATCTGACTCCTGATAGTAGTGACTTTTCGTCAAGTCGATAAATACCACATTTATATTTTAACTTGTTGATTCAGACCACTTACGGGACAGTTGTTGGATTGTGTGGGTAAAGTTACTGGATTTTTTCGCAAAATGAAAGGATCTTTGACCTCGTTAGTCGGTTTCCATGAGTAGTGAGATGAAAAATATGTTGGAACATTGTTTGTGTTTGAGATGGTTTAGATGAAGTTAGCGGGACATGGTTGTTTTCCAAGTACTAACCTCAGTCGGCACGCAGCATGCCCTGAGATATCGTTTGACGGTCTAAAAGGATCGCGTATTTTCCAGTACTGACCAAGTCGTCTGCATTTCACGGAATGGTGAACTCCCCGGACCAATTCATGGGCATTGCTGATTCCAGTCCACTGTTTCTTAATGCAATTGAGTCAATAACCGAGCGGGATGCATTCGCAACTGTCTACTCCGTACAACCTCGACGAGTCGGTAACACCGTCAGAACGTCGACTGCTAATTTCTATAAGTTTGTACATGTGTTAATGGCGCTTTCCTCAATAGTCAGCGGTCTGGTGAGGTTTTACTGCTCCTATAACGCTTCGTTTGCAGCTGGCTGGAATACGACGATGGTTTGAAGCAGCGTTGGCCTTGATTGTTTGTACACAAGTTAAGTTTCACGTTTCCGTTAAGGTTTGCACTGTTGAAGGGCCTGCCAAAGTGGCGATCGATCGATTCCAACGGTCACTCAGGCCAACTCAGTCTCATGGGTAAATTCAGCTCGCTGACATTTAACTTTGAGTTAGCGTTACGATGGGGTTGCAATATCCCGGCTTGTAAAGAAACGGGGCAGGTACCTCAAGGTTGCATATGTGACCACGTTCTTACCACTCCATTCCCGATTGAGCGCCTTCCAGTTGGGACGGTTTGTCGGATATAGTAAACATATCGATTTGTCTTCCGTCACGATTAGTGCGATACGAGCACGCCTGATGTATGTGAGTAGCTAAACTTCGTGTGTGCCACGTACTGTTGTCGCTGTATTGATTAATCATGTTCCAACCCTCTAGCATACATGCTGTTCTAACAGGTGATTAAAACGAAATGACAGACTGTGCATACATGCCCACACGAGCCTTCACGGTCGCCGTCCCAGTGATCAAACCGCCTTCCGTTCATTCGGAAGTAAGATCAGTTCAATCGGTAGAATATTCTTAAGTCACGATTTACTAGACGATCCTTCCATGGGCAACAAGAATTAACCGTAAGAAACATCTCTGAGTTGGTCCGATTCACTTTAGGTTATTGAGACAAACACTCACGAAAAGACAAGTTGGAGGATTTGTTCGCCGTCCATTCTATCAAAATATCCACTATGCCCGTAGATTTTGGTTTCCATGTAGAGAATGTTGATCGACGACCCCCCATTGATTGAGAGCACTTTGGAAACTTCAACCGGTGTTATTGAGAAATTAAGTTTGCTAAGCATAGTGAGTAATCTGACACAGTCCATGTTAATTTAAAACAAAGACCAGATGGTTCGCCTTTTGAGATATAACTACTTCATTGTACTCGATAAGTGCGGGCTCGAGGTGCGACGGCGGGCCGAATAGGAAAATGATTTATAGGGAGAGCACGCAATCCCCTACTTAAACTGCTTAGTAAACGTGTTAACGATGGAAGCGGAAAAACACAATCAAACGAAGACGTTTCGACGAGCTGAAGACAAAACGACCGCGTACAATGAACAATGATTTATCACGGGATAAAAGCAAGTGCTTGACACGTCCCGCACAAGCGCACGCGTATTGAGCTACAAGCCAGCATTAAAAGATATCAACTACAGACTGTATAAATGCCGAGTCGGTTTAAAGCAGGGCAAAAGTAGTGGACATCATACCTCTCGATTCCCTGATTATTCGACCCACAACGCATTACGAAAACGAGCGAAACAGACACAGCGAGTAGCGACTAGCATGGTTTCCAGCGCTCTAAATTATTTACATTGGTGGGGATGATCAGAGACTCAGGTTTCTGTCGCTTTAACTCGGAGCTCTCATAGGACTTCACATCATCCGCTAGATACAAAGGAATTTGTTTGGAATAATTGGTTAAAGGTGAACTTCAGTATGGCAATGTTTAGCCATTTAATGCGACGAACAGTTACCCAACAACATTTACCGCGACCTAGGGGGATGAGGTCGTGGGTGCTCTTCCACAGAGAATGAGGTGACAAATGATTCACCGTTAGTTAAGGTGATACTCACTGGTGCTATTCAACACATGAGCTCTTACATTAGTAACTGGAGAAGCAGTTAAATAAGTCCTGCCAAGAAAATACTTATTCGCAAGTTAAGGTACACGCTACAGGGCTGCAAGAAGGCTGGTTTCACGGATTTTGGCGTACTTTCTGCGAAACATAACACTGGATAGTCCTAAGCCGATGGCTAGTTCGATTGATCCAACTATGTATGCTTCTGACACTACCCGAACCAGCGAAACATTGTAGGACATCACTAGACTGGGAGATAATGGGGTCTCAGCCGTTCAGTAGCTGAAGTGAAACATTGCCGTCCTCACTGTGCTTTGGCATCGTGGAGGTTACACCAACACTGGGGAGGACTCTTGATGTTTCGGCATCTTAAGAACTGCTGATCTCAGTTATTTTTCGTCGCTACCATCCATTTCAATGGTACTTGAATACATGAATAGGCTCAAATGAGAAGCTGTGAAACAGCGAATTTAAAGTATCCCACTAACCTTATTATTATTATTATTATTATTATTATATTGCCATTTCATTTGAACCGGATCACACGAAAAGAGTTGGTTCAACTTATTAAAACGCTTTCATGCTCAGCGTACTGCTCACTGATCCTCTTCTGATCCTTTGAAGACCTCATGTTTGCACCGTCCTCAGCGGCGGCTATTTTCGATGATTCTGTGAGGTGTCAGGCGAGGTACGGTTGCTCAGCCGACTGAGTTGTGTTTGCTTGCTCGTTTTGACATATGGTAGCATGGTACCCTCCCGCATCACAACTGTCCTCTTCACAGAATTAGACGAGACGCACCGTTTACCCATATATTTCTGTCGCTTAGCATTTGTGGGTACGATTTGCCCGTAATTGCGTGCCTCGCCTTGTCGAGAATAAAAAGCATATTTATTTATTTATTTAAATTAAATGTGACCTGAGTCGGCACACTTGCTTTGGCCTCTATACCTGATTTTCGCATCGGGCCCATCCTACTAAGCAGGAATGTCACATCCTAGCGAGACGTGTGCATGTATTCGTGTGTGTGACGAAGAGTGGAAGCAACGACAGCTACGTTGTTGCCGTTGTACAATACGACGTGCGTGGCCAAGCCAGCGAGGTCACAGAGGCCCAATAGCGCACACGGCCTGTCTATCGAACCGAAGTTCGGTCTGTCCTGTTCACTGCTCTGCGAAATTGTTCCCTCGGGCGTTACCACATTTTGGAAGCACCGACCTCTTCTGAACCACTAACTGTCACGGTTCCTATCCCTTAAGATTCTGCCAAAGCCCTGGGCGAGTTACTGGGCTTTACGTCATTGGTGACCAATAAATCCACGGCTACCGCGAGATATCCACCCACGCACGTTCGAACCTTGATCAACCCAAAGGCAAGTTAACCGGGGAGAGCGCAGCTGAGGGCAAAATGAGACGAGTAGGCGAGTTGGACATGGCCTCGCGTGTGTCCGTATGGGCATGAGAGCGCGAATCTCGGCCTTGAACGACGTACAGGCACACATGCACATACAAAGGCCCAGTTGAACACACGCACGAACGCGTTTAGGCCGACGAACGAGGAGGTGCGGTCGTACCGACAACTCTAATCGACGGACACATTCGCCTTCGATCTGGGCGCCTATCGCCCCACGCCCTAGTTTCCGAGTTGGCTACTCTGTGAACAGCCGCTTTTACGTTTGTCGTAAATTCTTGTGTCAATTGCTTTGGGGTTCATTCGAGCCACCTAATACAGCGAAGTGATCAAGCCCTTATTCGCCCACGATGCCACAGTGCTGCTTCGCTGGATGTCACAATCGCACTGATGACGGGCGAGGTTTGAGCTTTTTCCGTTTCCCCCGGCGCGACGAGGTCCGCACCGAATGTTGGGTGCAGGCATGCGGCCGAAAAGCGTTTGTGCCCTCCCAACACTCACGTGTGTGTTCAGAGCATTTTAGTCCGGACGATTTTGAACGCGACATCCGATCGGAATTACTGGGCTCGAATCACAGACGTCTACGGTTGAAAGATACAGCGATACCGAGTCATGCAACACCGCTGAAGCCAGATGATAGGGACGCAGGAAAAGTTGAAAGTTGGAAACTGGAGTTGAGCAAAGTGGTGGAAACCGGTGCGGAATCAGCGGCAAATAACAGTACGTTTTCTTTTTCCTTTTCTTCGTTCCATTCCAGTGTGATTTTGTTGCATGTGACCTATCAGTCCTTTGCTTGCTTCAGTACCAGCAAACTAGCCGGTCGGTAGTCTCCACAGCTTTTGAGGCACAGGTTGGCGCCTATGTCGTCAGCCTTGTTGACAGTAGTCATGGGGTAATAGCCAAAGTGGTCGGTTATGAGCAGGAGACTAACAAATACTAGTAGCTACGCGAACGTTGTCGTGGAGTGAGCACCCACACCAGACCTTTATAAACTAGCGTTTATCCCACCTGGGGATGGTAGATTATGTTGATGTAACCCGGTTCTTTATGCGATATACCTCGTTATTTTGCAGCCAGGATAACGACTTAACCCGGCGATGTATATAAGTGATATAGTGAAAAGATAGTCAGGTAAGGTCATCACTTTTGTTTCTGGCCTTACCTAGTGATAGTATCATGGTGCAAAAATTGCAGACACCACGTGAGTTCATAGATGTTGTGGTAGCTGTTACCGGTGGAGCTCGGTGGGTGACGGTGTCGTGGTGAGATACGTCTACCGCCAACCGTTACTTTCCAATTCCAGTCCAGTTACACCCGCTTAAAGAATCCAAATAAGAATGCATCCAGTCGCGACACGCTGGGTTGGGATCAAATGGCACCTATTAAGTATTGTAATCACCTTTACCTATTCCATTCCCTGTGCCGGTGATTCGCTTCGAAATGAATCGCTTTCCAACTATAGGTGGCGTGTCACAACCCAATCAGAGAGACCTACTTCATTTGAGCCCGCGATGAATCATTCAGTGATCACTGCTAATAACATTGCCCGCGGTTCAGTGACTTAGAGGTAGCGGGCAGTCAATAAACTATGTCGCGGTCTGGAGTAGCAATCTTGCCATTTCTACTTAAAGAAAAGAAACCTGCACGAACCCGGTCGTGGGTAACACTTGGCATCTGTCGTGGTCTAATAATATTAACTGAATACTCCATTGCCATCCGATTGTATTTCTATTTTCTGTTTGGGATAGTGATACCAGGCTCGTAGATGCTCGGGACATGAATATCAACATTATGTCGTGTTCGTCACATACTGGTGTATTCCTGTTCATTTACTGTTTTGGTATTCAGTCGATGACAAGTATCGATCGGAATTCGGTGCCGTAAGGAGTTATCAACTACAGGGGATTTGCAGAAGAATACTTTGCTCGGCGTCGTGTCCGTGTCCGTGTCAATAAGTTATGGCCAAGGTTCACTCTCTGGCACGATCTGACTACTGTCTGGTCCGCGTAGAGTTTAGCTGCTGGCTGAACGAGTGAGCTTCTGAACTAAATGGCCCTATATCACGCGAGTGCTACGGTTTATTGCTAGCAGGCGTGCGCGGTGACTAGCTAAACTCTTCTACCTGCATGTTTGGAGGTGAGAGCAACTATGAAGCCGTGGTGTACAGATTTTCAAAGATTCGTGCAACTCACTTGAGCAAATGACTTCGCAGGTCATGGGGTGTTCCCTGTCTTTGCTTCTCCTAGTTTTAGGAAATATGTCAAGTTCGGTGGGTCGTGGTTGATGGTGATTGTGGAACGCTTGCCTCACTTACCGGTTTGGCAATTTCTCAGGTAATCTTAAGGCTGGCGCAACGACTATAAATTGATCCTATTGCTGCGTGTGTTCGACGGTTACGCAATACTGATGTATGTCTAGCACCAAGGTTAGGCCAGTAGCTGGAAGCAATATTTCTGGTGTAGTGTCTTACTCTAGGATGCAGACAATGCATTTGGGCACTGATGTGTCCTTCGAGTAGGACGACGTATGAACTATAGGCCTGAGGTGATTCGTACTGCAGGCGGCAATAGGTGATTCCGCGGACACAGTGCCAACAGCGCGCTGATACCGGACCAGAAAGGGTAGCACAGTCCTCTCAGATCCAACACGAGACTAATGAAGGGAGAGTGAGTCGATCTGACAACAAAGCTAGGTACAGTTGTGGTCACCGAGTGTCTTACTTCCATTCTCTGGACTGATTTTCGGGACAAATTGGAACACAGCATTCAGATATCCATGGAAACATTAAAAATTTTTTGTCGGACTTAGACGATTGATCGATGCTTTCGGTGGAGTGGTTTCCTTCTTAGTTTACCCGATTCAATTCTGCTACGTGGTTAGAACCTGTTGTTGGCACTCTTTTTTGTACGAACAGTGCGGACCTGTGAATAGCGTTGCTAAAATTAGTTACTTACCGATACTGCACATACTAACTCAAAACGGGGACAGTTCTTAAGTGTTGTTTTCTGTCACCTTCGGACTTCACAGGTAGTTACTTTCCTGATCCCTTTCATAAGTAGTTCTACCAGTGCAGATGGAGTGCCAACACCTCCGGTGATCAACCCAGCGTATTACTATTAATTTCGCCTTCGTACGGTATCAACAAGTGGTTGGGATTCAAACCAGGAAGGTAATGGCTACTGCCAGACACATAATCCTACACCAGCAAACTATGTGAATAGCGTTTGTTTAAACGGTTAGCATTTCCTTAATGGGTTTTCGGAAGACCCAGTCATTACTTTATGAAGACAACTGGGTCACGGAGTTCAGTAATGGGAGCGAGAACCATTTAACTTGATCCCATGGAAAAACGGCAGAGTATTAGTTAGACTTAGGTCTGGGCCCACATTGAAGTTGCGGTTTCAATCCCTGCACTCATGGGGTACTCTAAGAACCTAACTATGACTAGGCCTACAGGCACTCAGACCTACTTTTAGTGTAAATTATCTGAGCACTCGACCATTCTGTCTGTAGGAGGGCGCACATAACAACATTCCTGATCGCACCTAATCGGGCTGCTAAGCGGCCACAACATATTCGATTACTATACCACTTTCATACCGGCACACAAAGAGTAAGAGATGTGCGTGTCCGTCTGGCATGGCTCGGGGCTTTTAGAAAAGCTAACTAGCACTGCCAACTGTACTACCATACGTCGTTTAAAAAAGATACAGTAAAATACGTGCCGAAGTGCTAGACGCACTTACCTGGTAATATGCAATTCTTGGTAAAAATAGATAAGCCTATTTTAAATGAAGTCAGGTTGCGCATGAACTTAAGTAAGCAGCAATTCTGGGTCCAGTAGGCCGACAACTAACCTGGACTCGCACACTGTTTTTTCTGAAATGCACTGACGGTAATATTTTAGCTACTAATATGCTTTGAGTAACCTAATGCCTATTCAAAATTTCACTGGAACATGGTGTATGCGTCCGGTTAGGGTTCTGAGGGCTTCCCTGTCCCGGGTATACGTGGGTTGTAATAGATCGATGGGACTAAAAGGCAAAAGCTATTTCGTACGTGGCTGGGCAGTTTCCTCATAACCACCTAGTAAGAGTCGGCGCTGCGTGATGTGCGTGTTACACCTCGTGACGGCACTGTCACAGCTGCTGATAGAGGACCGAACATGCGGTGACTGGATGGATGGCGTGAAAACGCATACGAGAGATGGCTGCTTAAACAATACTGAGGATGAAATGGTAAGGAAAGAGAAGCGGAAGTGACAATGACAATCTATGCTACACTTAACGACAACTTGACTTGCTACAGCAACACTGTAGTGCTGAAAATGGGGATCTCAGACGGGGGCCATGCCCTAAGCAATGAAGAACAAACTGGAGATTTAGGTCTGTAAAGCCACGGTGCTATCGCATGGCATACTGGGACTTCTACGGACCATAAGGGATGTAGTGTGTCTGCAAGCGGAGTTTGCTTTTCTGCGCTCAATTAGCAGGCAATTCGACAACACTTAACGTTTGCTGTAGCGTTTACTTATTATCTGCTATCCATGTTAAAATCATGTAGTACATTTTGTATACAGGCACACCTTGTGGTTGGAAGCATAGAGGCAATTCTTCCGCGTTTTATGCAAGCGCTGTATTATTTGCTGCAGTTTCGATTGTTGCAAAGTACTGTAAGGACAAACGCATTGACATCGGATACTGTCTAATGTTACTTGGGGCAAATTCTCATAGCAACTGGCATTATTATATTTGTTGCATGTCTTTCCTGAAAACACACATCGAGATCATGAGCTTCAGCACGTACTCAAATTACTAGTACTCACTTTCAATTTGCTGTTTTAATGCACCAAAGTTTAAAGAGCGGAAACTTCAAATGAGCTTTGCGCGTGTCGGTTACCAAATGCGCGCAATTTAAAATATACTATTGCGTTCTGATCTGCCAAGCTTCGTAAGTGTATATTGCACACACGGGTCGTAATCTTTATTCATTTTGGCATATGCAATGTGACATTGTATTTTGGAATCTTTATGTATTATTGCTATCGTGCGCACAAAGCACGCAGATTTTGGCATAGTGCAAAACCGGAGAAGTAAAATAATAGGTTTAAATACTATGTACTATGTTTGCTTTAACTATAGCGAACTTGTACTGCCTCTTACTTTAATGAGGTGCTTTAGATATTGGAGCTTGAACCATCGCAAGACCATACTCTTAAGTTGCTGACTGATTCCACGGCCATCGCGTTTCTCGGTTTTCAGCATTTGTGATTGACTCGCTCTCCCTGTAATGTCTGCGGTGCTGCACCGTAAGTTTGCTTACCTTATTCGTTTTCCCCACTTTTAGTGGCCGAGAAAAGACCGCAAGACTCATTGTCAGCAAATTCTTTCGATCTTCCCCCAAAGAAGTAACTACATTCGACTTTCTTAACTGTTACCAGGGTTTTCGTTGATGACGATGTATTGGACTTGAGCCGACGAACGCAGGCTGCTGGGTCATTTGCTGAGAAAAGAGTGGACAAGGTAGTTTGTTTTTCTTTATGTTTCTGGTTCAGTATGATGAGGACGTCATATTCCTCAGTGAAGACGAAGATGAGTTGATGATTGATTCACTCAGCAAGGAAATAGAAAAAGAAAATGCTCCGGACTCCGAATCGATTAAAAAGTCAAAGTTATTGTTAAGGAAAATTGAGAATGATTTGAGAAACGAAGAGTGTGCTCTTATGTTGCTGCAACAGTTACGGTCCAGCCAACGCTCCCACCCTGTTCAACCGAAAGGTGCTAAGTTTTCCCAGAACGCACAAATTGCACCGAAAGCTATTCAAAATACATCCCAATGTAAGTCATATTAGCATTGTACTATTTTGTAGCTCGCCCTAGTAATACCCAACTGGCCTCTCGCCTACCAATCTCCTCCCAAGCCCTTCGTACTTCTCAAGGTGAGCTCTCTTTATTTATTACTTTAGTAGCTACTTGTCCAACATCTGCTCTCCCGGTTACTAGCACTACATCGGCGAATCCTGCTACAAAGTTCACGAGGGCGATGGCCACTCAAGCTCTGGAGCAACAGTACAACGGAAAGAAGGCTGTGCTTCTAAAACACCTCGAACGTGCTCTAGATAAAATCAGCCTTCCACGACCATCTGGAGGTGCAGCCTTTTCGGAAGTTGCTTTCGTTCCGAGCACTTTGACGAATGAGTTCACTTCTCTCATAGGGCTAGAGGAAGTAATCAGCGCTCTACAGGTGAGCGTATGCAACCGCATTTTATGGCATTGCTTTTTATCACTCATTCCGTTTACAATCCTTGCGTATATAATCCACTAGGAGTCTCGATTTCCCTAATCAGTTGGCCATTTTATCGCGAACACTTCATGGCTACGGTACACGTTTTTTCTACAACTTTCGTTTGGATGACTAAGGTTCGTTGTGCTCGTATTCCATTGTAGTAGTCTGGAGGTTCTCCGGTTTGCCTGAGTATGTCTAGTAAAACACTAAATAAAAGGCTGTTAGCAGAGCGCTGAAATACACGTTAAATTTGTTTGTCTGACCGAACACACTTCCCATGCATCTAAACGGCAACACGGTTGGATCCTGCACGTCACTCCGTCGCGCGGACACTCACATCCCTCCTTAGCTAGTTTCGCGTCGTCCGATGTAATTTTAGCCTGAACACCAATAACAAACTTTCCTCCCATTACTTCCATGCGTTCTCTTCAACTATTTGGAACGGTGCTCGCCACTAGTCTGCTGAATACTCCGTCTGTTCGCGTGAGCTGATCACTCTCATTCTATCATTCTACTTATAATCCTCATATCATCCATCCGACAGTTATAACATTTCAGTGTCATTTAGTTGGCTTTTCTGCCCTATCCAATCTTTTACACTTTTTACCTCATTATTATTATTATTATGCGGATCAGTGTTGTTGCGCGAACCGGCGATCTTAACAAGTTTGAACTGTAGAATCTGTTAAGTAGTTTGATCTCTTCTCTTTATCCTTTCCTATTTTGGTCAGCTTTAAGAAATATGCGAAGAAGATTGAAATCAACCGTATTTATCTGGAAATGACACTTAGACCTAATTAATTACTTGTACTGCTAACACGAGACTCCAATTTCAGCCTTTAGCATCTTGTATTACATTACAAACTCAATGAGTTGACCACTCAAGGGACTAGATCAAAGTGGTTAACATTGGGAGCTTGTTAACATACACATGTTACATGCTGAACGTTTAAGCAATGAAAAAGAAACCGGTCAACTTAGAGAGGTAGTCAGGATATAGTGGCGGTCAACTTTGGTTTTACCGTATTTGTTACACTTCACCAACCAGTACTTCTTTTACTCATTGTTTTTTAATATTTGCATTTTATACTTTGACCTCGGAAATTACCCTCGCTTTCCCAAACCATACACTTGCGAAGCAAAACATCGAATGATCGACCCATAGTGTCAAGGTTCGGTGGAGGAGAGAGCTAAAAGATATACTTGTTACACTTTCGATGTCTTATCGAGTACGCACGCGGAGTGACGTTTATCCTTCGGCACTGTCAACGCAGTTCGGATGTGCAACAACCTGTTCAAGTCCGATTCGCTCTCTAAATCCGTAATCCAATTTGAGCGTCCAGGAATTTCTTGAATTCCAACACTGACTCCGCCACTCGAAACATAGAGGATATGCTATCCGCTTCAGATCGGGTACCACCAGCCTGTACCGGTCCCCGCGATTGCTGCTCGTGCGCACGTACAGCAGTGGCAACAGCATGGAGGACACCCAGATGTATTATCCACTGCGTCATTATGTGGTCCATTCGAAACAGACGATGTGACAGGGTGTATAGCCTTAGTCGTCTACCTCGGTCTTCGTACGGCATACCACATCAACTGGGGATGACCCTGGTAGCCATATGCTGAATCGTTCCGGTTTTTGCACTTAATCACGGGTTATCATACAATAGGCAGGTGTGCCGTTCCAGCAAATGGTTCGTCGGCAGTGGTCCAGGACACGGCTGATTTTCGTCTGACAAGCGTTCTCTTTATAAAAAGGCATCAACAGTACGCAGTACCGACGCTTCGCTGCCTCGCAACCACGACCAGTCGCATATGGGCTAAGGATATTGCGTGGGTCGCTCGGTCTCTACGCAGACTCGAACCCGCACCCTTGGATTACAAAGCAGGCTTGTGATCCTTAAAGCTACAAGCAGTTTAACAACACTGACGTGACAGATGTGAATCGTCACTAAGTAGTCACTGCCCTTTGCTTCATACTGGCTAGCATTGTATTCCAGCAACTTGATGCTGCAATTGTGCTCAGCATTGACCCCTGTTTGGTAACCGAACAAACGAAAGACGTTTGAGCTGTGCACTCAGTCACGGGCTCCCAGTGGGCGTGATTTCCTGAATTTGCTCCGCTGCCTTGCAGATAGGTTATCCGGCCAAAGGCTGTAGTGGTGCCTCCTAAGACAACATCCTACCTCGGCTTGGGCAACCGGGTGGTATCTTGCCCTCTGACGAAACCATGGACTCTTTTGTCTTGTGTCATGTATCCTTTTTACCACAACTGTACATCCCCTTGAGTTTCATGATTTTTGGTGGCTCTATGCCTATTCCTAGACTGTTGCAAATATATACCTAACTTATCATGGATGCGAAGAGACGAGTGGCAATCTCTTAAGAATGAGTTCGGAAGCTGAGGTTGAGCGCCCAACTCATGTGTGTTCTGGTTTCAAATGACTTGTGTTGTCCACGGACTTCAGGCGCAACGCTAGAGTACGCCTAATTTCTTCACAGCAGGTGAGAATTAGTGGTTAGTGTGCGTACGCCCAGGCTCATAAATAACGACATGGCTAGGTTAACCGGTGGATCACATGGACTGGTGGTCAAGCTCATACTAAAGTAAGTTTCGGTCGTCGGGAGCATCACTTTCCATACCTTAAGGTCCTCTGCAAGCAAGGCACAGAGCGACGGAAATGTTTTACTTCGTCGATGTGGATCAGGAGCAAAATATGGCCCAGTGCTGCACCTTGGAGTGCGCTACTTGTAGATGGATACCAGTCAGTTGGTTGGCCGTCGATTTGTACCCTCCCCTGTCGTCCAGCGAAAAACCCGGATCCACTGGTGCAGTGATCCACCTACACCGCACACTCAGCTTGTGGAGGAGGACCCCATGGTTTTACCATTTCGAACGTTTTACGTCGACAGATTTCCCATGCATCACTGCCAGCAACCATTCTTGCCTCGTCACAATCACGTTGGTGATGCATAAGCGACCTTTCATGAAACCGCGCTGTGCCGGCATCAGAGGTCCTCTGATAGTAGGAACAGCTGTTACTCGAGCTACAGCCATCATTTCCGTTAGTGAGTCAGCGACAGAACCCACTGACAGTTGCTGCCGTTGATATGCTTACTTTCCTACTCTACGGTTCGTTTGAACTTATGTGTGTATGTGTGCATGTGCATTTCGGAATTGGTAGTCGTAGAGTGACATCTACCTACTAGACACCCTTAGCTAATACTATTTTCATTTTTCTCTTGTCTATTGATAAAAAACCCGCTCACTTCGCAACTGACACTATCGATTCATGTGACTCATCATTCAGACTACTACTCATTTCACATTGATTCGCTTAATGTCTGCACTTCGGGTCAGATCGACCAACAGGTAGCACTAACTCTCACTCTTTGTTCTCTCGGTATTGACAAGTGCTGACAAGTACTGCCGATAACGACACTTCTTCAACTTCAAGAGTGCGTTCGACTCAGTCGACCAGTCCATTGTGTTTGGATTACTTGCACGGAAAGACGTTCCCATAAAATATGTAAATCTCTTACGCACCCTGTACTCGAACACCACAAGCCGCGTCAGGATTTACGGTGACATATATTTGTCCGACAACAAGTGACATTCATCAAGATTGCCAACTTTCCGCACTTTTGTTTAATTTCGCCGTTGATTCCAACATGGAGTATTCCTTTGTGGATTCTCACGATGTAGGCGTTGCAGTGCTGCCTGTTGATCTTGGTTATGTGAATGACATTGTCTTGCTGTTTAACCATGCTGAGGCGGCTTAGTCAACTGTGAATAATCTTTTTAAAGCAGCTTCATCAGCAACGATGGGCGCATAGCCACTGAAGACAGTTCAGATATTGCAAAAGCTAAGCTCAGTGACATCTGTGCCTCGAGAAGTGGGTTTTCTTCGTTTTGAAAGGCCGTATTTAAAGGGCCACAGTGAGGGCCGTCCTCTATGGTAGTGAGAATTGGCCATTTCGGTATGAGGATCTGAGGCGCTTTCAGGTCTGGACACCAGTACATGTTAAACATTTCTGCTGTTGGATGGCACCAGCGTGTCTGCAACGATGCTGTGCGTAAGCGAGTGTTAGTTGTTGCTAATCTGGTTATTTCCTTTGAACAACGAATAGCAGTAAATTGGGCACGTACTATTTATGCCCGGTCTTAGCTTGCCGAGACAGGCCTTGTTTGCCAGATGTAGGGTGGCGCAGGACTCGAGGTGTGCAAAGATTAATTTGGCAGCAGGAATTGAAGTCACTGAGTACACAACTGGGTGCTGTTGGTCCATCTCGTCTTCCAGGCTAGAGTCCACGTGACCTGCCTTGTGCTTGACTCGAGATGATACGGGACAGAGCTCGCAGTCGTTACCAGTGATGCGTCTGCTTTCGCCTCTCAGTCGGACTGCTCATTTAATTGTGTTTGGTGTTGAGTTATATGCAGGGTATTGGCTGGTTATGACGCGGGTCAGTGAAAGCCGCAAGTAGGCTATTTCCTCGATACAAGGTTATTTGTGCATAGGAGCCAGCTGTTTATGACACGTTCATATACCTTGATCCCGAATGGTTGCTTAGGGCATATAAGTATTACTCTGGTTCCCCCTTCTCTCCCTCTTACTGTTCTTCGTCCCGTAGGTCATTGTTGCTGTGCGGCAGCGGAACTTCAGTTCAAATGGCTTATATACACTTGTTAAAGATGATGACTACACTTCGTATTTCTGGCGATACTGAGTCAATGGCTGATGGTATTCACGGTGTTTTTATTGCCCTCATCAAACCCGCTGACGACAGTCTACTCGACTGGATACCATTTAACAGATGTATATGTGCAGTTCGATTTGTACTAATAATAAGCACCATCTGAAGACCAGGTTCCTTTCCATCGCTTCCATTTTGCCCATATTGTTAGCACTACTTAGAGCATTAACAATGATTTCTATCGTGAACTGTCTTCTCAC